TGTTATACGTCATATGATACACATACTAGATACTCTGTTATACGTCATATGATACACATACTAGATACTCTGTTATACGTCATATGATACACATACTAGATACTCTGTTATACGTCATATGATACACATACTAGATACTCTGTTATGCATCATATGATACACATACTGATACTCTGCTATATATCATATGATACACATACTAGATACTCTGTTATACGTCATATGATACACATACTAGATACTCTGTTATACGTCATATGATACACATACTAGATACTCTGTTATACGTCATATGATACACATACTAGATACTCTGTTACACATCATATGATACACATACTAGATACTCTGTTATACGTCATATGATACACATACTAGATACTCTGTTATACGTCATATGATACACATACTAGATACTCTGTTATACGTCATATGATACACATACTAGATACTCTGTTATGCATCATATGATACACATACTGATACTCTGCTATATATCATATGATACACATACTAGATACTCTGTTATACGTCATATGATACACATACTAGATACTCTGTTATACGTCATATGATACACATACTAGATACTCTGTTATGCATCATATGATACACATACTGATACTCTGCTATATATCATATGATACACATACTAGATACTCTGTTATACGTCATATGATACACATACTAGATACTCTGTTATACGTCATATGATACACATACTAGATACTCTGTTATACGTCATATGATACACATACTAGATACTCTGTTAAACATCATATGATACACATACTAGATACTCTGTTATATATCATATGATACACATACTAGATACTCTGTTACACATCATATGATACACATACTAGATACTCTGTTATACGTCATATGATACACATACTAGATACTCTGTTATGCATCATATGATACACATACTGATACTCTGCTATATATCATATGATACACATACTAGATACTCTGTTAAACATCATATGATACACATACTAGATACTCTGTTACACATCATATGATACACATACTAGATACTCTGTTATACGTCATATGATACACATACTAGATACTCTGTTATACGTCATATGATACACATACTAGATACTCTGTTATACATCATATGATACACATACTGATACGCTAACGTATCTCCATCTCATACAGACAAACAGTACAATTTCTATATATGGTTTTTATCTATCTTAAATCAACTGAGAACTCCTGCTGATGCTGACTGAGCTTGGCGCGGGGACGATGTATATTACTGTCTGATGCAGCGATGGACCAGTCTCGCAGCATCTCGCGCCTTTTTTCTCTCCTTTTGATAATAATTGCATGCAAATGAAAACTATTAAACGAAAGTTAACAAAATCACTTAGTTTGGTAGATAAGATGGGACGGTGAAATGTTTTTCCGTCAACCAAATTGCATCCCTTTAGGCAAAACTATTAACAACACTGTGTTACACGGAGTCGATGTTTGAAAATGGTTGCGTGCCCAGTTTATCTGGCCAACATTTCAGGGTGTTAACGGACCTGTGATTAGCTATATAATATGCTTCAGTACTAATCTTCCATCTGCCTATTACAGAGTACAACTCCCGCGCTTAGTTCTGGGGCGTTCGTCTCTCTCCCGGGCAGTCCGAATACAGATGAAATCTCTGAGCATCATATGACGTCATAGGAACACATAACGTATCGTGATTCATGTGGATTTAATAGCCTTTTGTTCACCAATGCTAATTTAGAAATACATCTTCGAAAACGTTTGTGATTCAAATCAGTACAGAATAAGTCACTCTTATCATAAAACGTGAGTGAAGGCGAGGGAAATATACCCCTTCTGTTGTGGAACCGGGATATAAGCATTACCGTCGAGGCGTGAACGTTTACGAAGGTGTGGATGGTGGGCAAGATGCTATCGAGTTTTTCATACACAGCGCTCTTTACTTCGGTGCGAAACAGTTTACCGGGATAATGGCACAATTGCTAAATAGTCTGACTTTTGTGAACCACTAAATTCAACAACATGAAGCCAGTGCCAGACGACCTATAAATATTGGACTCGGGGATCTTTAAAACAAGCTACAGCTTATCAACAATGTAACAGAAACATTAGAATCGATTTATGAAATAAAAAACCAGAATGTCACGTGACAGTTATTGTATAACTATATACATATTTAAGGGTTTTTCATACATTTTACGTCTGCTTTCCTTAGTTCTAACGACTTTGTTAATTAAGTGTCCCATTTCACGCAGAATTTGTTTGGATGATAACATAAAAACGGTGCTATTACATGTTATAGGTTAGTTAATACCAGTTTTTATTTTCGAAAAGAAAACAATATTGTCTTCATGTTAGAATCAAATATAAGGAGCTTTTGAGGAATCTGTCCAACCCTTACACATAGCTTCGCTCTACCTTCTGTCCAACCCTTACACATAGCTTCGCTCTACCTTCTGTCAACCCTTACACGAAGCTTCGCTCTACCTTCTGTCCAACCCTTACACATAGCTTCGCTCTACCTTCTGTCCAACCCTTACACGAAGCTTCGCTCTACCTTCTGTCCAACCCCTACACGAAGCTTCGCTCTACCTTCAAAATTAAACCAAGTACTCAGGTACTCTGTGTGCTGCCGTTGTTAAGATTCTGCACAATTTAGTCGAATTATTTTTACTGGTTCTGACTGTTATACTATATGTTAAACATGTGTACCTCTAGTAAAAATCCTGTAATCTGATTGGTCGAGACAAATTGTTCATTTCACATTATTATACTTCTAGTGAAAATCCTGTTTTCTGATTGGTCGAGACAAATTGTTCATTTCACATTATTATACTTCTTGTGAAAATCCTGTTTTCTGATTGGTCGAGACAAATTGTCCATTTCATACTTTTACATTCGCTTCAACACTGAGTCAACGGAAGGGTGCTTGCCAACGCCCTAACAACGAGTGACAGTTTGTGTGATAGAGGAAAATAGTGACCGCGCAAAGATGTGCGTACGGTTCGCTTCATCCACCATGTTGACTTTCGGTAAAACTGAGAGTGACAGTGATAGCCTCGGGGTGACCCTAGCCGCTGTCACACTCCAATGAATGTAGTAGCCATATATTGACGGGTGTGAAGTATCAAAGGAGGGGGGTTGATTATCAATGTCAATGTGTACTTTGTGATCGTATTTAATCTAATAATTTGTAAAATTCGCGGGATTTCGGAAGAAATTATTAAATCACAAAATAAATTCACAATTAGGTCACGTCAAATGAAGTAATTAGTGATGACGTCACGATTAAGTCACGATCGAGACATGCTTAAGTCTCGTGGGTTTAGTCGTGAAGTTACTCTTTAGATCGACAGATTAAATCTTTAATTTTAAACATCATAAAATCAACCTGATTTTTTTTATTTTCTAGATTATTTTTTGTTTGTTTGGAAACTACGATGGTAAATTAAATGTAAACACCGTGACAACTTGATGCAGGTTGCGCGCGCGCCTGCCTTTACCTATATATTTACGGTTGCCATCGACCGACTAAAGCCCGAACGCCGTTATACCTTTGGCAGACTCCACTCCTGTTATCATCCGATTCCCACTGAAGCTTACCAGACAGGTTTAAAGTTACAGTAATAATGACAACTGATGTCGTCTGTCGGACAAATGAAAATATCTCTAATCAAGTCAGGTAGTGATTGTGATAACCTGATCGACGGGACTGCGGCCCTCGACAGCATTATAGATGAAAAGCGTGACAACGCGACGATAAAACAAAAACTTGACAATTTTCTGGATATTACCTGATAATATATATAACATACGCACACACACATAACGAGAGTCTGTTAAAACCGATGCCGGGATATTAATACGGAATATGGAGTATCGGAATCGGGGAACAGCCCACCAGCCCATCATCAACCGGGATTATTATAAAATATTTTCCCTCTTTCTTATTTTCTCGCATTTGATTTGCAGAATTTTACGAGATATAACTCGACTTTTGATATGGCTGCTGCCGTAAGCGATTTAATATCAGCTAAATATGATATGGATTTACCGATCGCTGGAAGTAATAAAATACAATACAGACAAGCGCCCCGATTATATCCGCGAACATCTACCAAGCTCATCATTTCTGGAACATAAACGGGCGGTAAACAGGTTCGTAACGGGGTGTAAATCGGCCATGATATTTGATAACTCTAATCCGAGGTGTGACCCAGGTAAGGGCTTCGGATAATGAGTGTCATCAGGTTAATGCAGATGTGACTATTCGTCATCACGTAGAGGGTGTAATGTTGACGAGCCTGGCATGTTCATGTATGTACGAATTACAAAAACAAATGACGGTTAAAATATACGGATGCAACTTTTTGCTCGTATATGTAAATATGTGAATATGTAAATAGTTCATGACAATGTAACAATTACGTATTAATAACTCATTGGCAACGTCTTAGATACCACGATGTGTAGGTAATACTGAGACTTCAGTACATTTCCTGATATAAATGGTAGAATAAAACAAACTAATATTCGGACACTTCGAAAAACAAAATGTATTCGTGAAAACAGAACTGAACGAATAATTAGATAAATATAAACAAACAAATAAAATAAATTCAGAAAAAATATGTATAACTCCAAAAATACTAATCTCCCTGGAAACTAGTATTGTGTCTAGTGCTCGCCCTAGAAACTAGTATTGGGTCTAGTGCTCGCCCTAGAAACTAGTATTGTGTCTAGTGCTCGCCCTAGAAACTAGTATTGGGTCTAGTGCTCGCCCTAGAAACTAGTATTGGGTCTAGTATTCGCCCTAGAAACTAGTATTGTGTCTAGTGCTCGCCCTAGAAACCAGCTTTGTGTCTATACCTGCACAAAAACCATCGGTGTCATATATTGTCTCACATAAAAAAAAATAGTTCACGTTCAGAACAATTTTATGTTACAGAATAATGTGAAACATGTATTGCTTTTGTATTTTACAGACTGACACAAACAGCAATGATATGGACCGGGGCTACAAACGGGTGGCGATCGTTGAGGATTTCTTCGAAATCATATATGGAGTACACGTGGAGATGGACGGGCGAGGCGGCAAACACGCGGGACAGAAACGGACGTACAGGGCGGTAAGATTATAGATCAAGGTCAATAAAATATGCAATCATGTTGAGAATCCGTCTGCTGGCTTGTACATGTATTGCTCTTATGGGACGTAAGTAGAATGTTTATTAGTTCAACGTAGTTTAACGTCGAGACGTTGTCAAATTTTATAACAGTTCATACTCGAACTAAGGACATTTTGCGTTAACTTATACTCAGATTTACGTCATCAATATTCACTCATAGTCGAGTTAAGGTCATCGGTACTCACTCCTACAAAAATCAAGGTCATCGGTACTCACTCCTACAAAAATCAAGGTCATCGGTACTCACTCCTACAAAAATCAAGGTCATCGGTTCTCACTCCTGCGCCACCAGGAGTTATTTTAATTTTCATCGTCAGTAAATATAATTGAAATGCTAGCTTAACAGGTTTAGGTTGAATTTGAGCTGGAGTTGGGAGGTTCTGTATAAAAAGCCGTAAGTTTAAATGCTTTCGACTGAATGAAATTTATTGAATGAACGTGTAAAATTTGGCCCTAATTAGGAATCGATGACTTACATTCGAGACAGTCTTATTTTCAAATGGGGCCGACTTTTTAGACTTTACTTTAGACTTGACTAGCGATACAGAAATGTACAGACAGTTCACGTTTACTAAAAAGAAACAGAATGATTTTAACAAGTTGCAAACACTGAACCAGGTGGACGAACACACATAGGTGGAGTCGGCCATTTCGCAGGCAAAGTTTCTAGAATTTAGAAAGATTTCCATTACAACGGTACGTCCGAGGGCCGGCCCAATCATAACGTGTTAACATCTAGGTGACCACACTACAGCATACATGAAGGTCAAGGTCAGGTTAAGATCACGACCAGAAAAAGTAATGGTACATAACTGGTTTAAACTATTCATGTCGAAGTCCCGCAGGTAAAGGTCATGAACATATGACGTCACGGAGGTCGGGTCAACAAATGGAAATCTGTAATCGATTTACCTCAGGTGAAGTATTAACCGCGTCCATACCAGGGAGATGGTCTGGGCATTCTATCTGCCGCTGATATTTTGAACTCAAGAACACATTTCATCAATATTTAATAAATTCCTGTCTTTAGTGCTTCGAACTTTCTCCATTCAACTCTTCAAGTTTTTGTCTTTGTTTTGCTTTTTCGTCTTCGCTAGTGGCATATAACTCCCCGGAGGTTATCGAGTCCCCATACGGCACTTCAATTTATAATAAAACAGGAAATGACATCAGGACTGTAACTTATTAAAAAACATTCTGTGTTATTTCATGTAAAAAACCTCGTCATGTACTAAACTTAACATAACATTCCGCGTTTTACAAATTCTTCCTCTGAAAATATCGATTTGGAGATATTTGCACGCGTGCTATGTTTTCGTCTATCGGCATACAATTATATTCGGTATTATTGAATAATATGTCAAATGATGTGATTCTGCTTGTTATTTACTGAAGCTGGTCCAAAAGATGTAAGAAATTGAACTCTGATCTCAAACTTCAATTCGAGCCTTAAAGGAAAACATATAAGCATTAAGAAAAGCAAACAAAAGACTGTTCAATTAAATTAAAATGGAAAAGTACAGATGATAAAAGAGAGTTAATAGTATTCAAAACTACGACTTTATACAATGCTGGTTTCGACTAACAAAATTTATGTGCAGATAGTTTCCTGTATACAAGATATCGGATACACACAATTCGCCAGGAAATTAATAAATTCTGGTTACAATATTGTTTAATTTACTACTCGCTTATGTTATAAAACACTTAAGTCAGGGCCAGAGTCATTGTTCATTTTTCTCATGAAAATAGCAATCTTTGAAAAATACAAAGTAAATACATATGTAATATATTTGTTATAAATCAGAAATAATCAGCGAAGCAGACACACGTCCAGTGCGCGGGTGTTTCTAACGGCAGACTTAGGGGGAGCATTTACTGGACAAACAGAGCCAGCCAAAATATATTTGCAGATAATCATAACTTGATGATAAACTTTGTCTCTATCAATACCGAGTAAGCTAGAAGACACTAGTTTTTCTGTCAAAACAGTTAAAGCATTTGGTTTCTGAATAATGCTCGTGCAGCCAGGACCTGTCTACGTTTCTGCTGTCATGAACCTTTTTAAATGATGCTATTTCAAAGTAGTTTTCAAATCTAGAATGTATCTAATAGGCCAATATTAAGTGAAATACTTGAATGAAAACAACCAAATATTTCTATGTGACCAAATAATGTCACATCTTCAAACTGTTGAAATAACTGTAACATTTTATGATGCATTTATAAGTATTTAAACATTTAATTGCATGTAATTTCTCCTACCAACACTGTCTAAATAAAGGACATATGTCATAGGCCCGCGTAGGTAGACATGCATGTTCATACACACATAGCAGAAACTAGTGTTTTACTTAAATATTTATTTTAAACAAAAAATGTCATCCATTCCACCAATAAAACAAATCATTGGCGTTAGAAACTGTAACAGGTGACTCTCTTCTATCCTTACTTAGACATGTCGTTAGACACTGTGACAAGGTGACTGTCTTCTATCCTTACTGAGACATGGCGTTAGACACTGTGACCGGGTGACTCTCTTCTATCCTTACTTAGACATAGCGTTAGACACTGTGACAGGGTGACTCTCTTCTATCCTTACTTAGACATGTCGTGAGACACTGTGACAGGGTGACTCTCTTCTATCCTTACTGAGACATGGCGTTAGACACTATGACCGGGTGACTCTCTTCTATCCTTACTTAGACATAGCTTTAGACACTGTGACAGGGTGACTCTCTTCTATCCTTAGTTAGACACTGTGACAGGGTGACTCTCTTCTATCTTTACTTAGACATAGCGTTAGACACTGTGACAGGGCGACTGTCTTCTATCCTTACTTAGACATAGCGTTAGACACTGTGACAAGACACTGTGACCGGGTGACTCTCTTCTATCCTTACTTAGACATGTCGTGAGACACTGTGACAGGGTGACTCTCTTCTATCCTTAGTTAGACACTGTGACAGGGTGACTCTCTTCTATCTTTACTTAGACATAGCGTTAGACACTGTGACAGGGTGACTGTATTCTATCCTTACTTAGACATAGCGTTAGACACTGTGACAAGACACTGTGACCGGGTGACTCTCTTCTATCCTTACTTAGACATGTCGTGAGACACTGTGACAGGGTGACTCTCTTCTATCCTTAGTTAGACACTGTGACAGGGTGACTCTCTTCTATCCTTAGTTAGACACTGTGACAGGGTGACTCTCTTCTATCCTTACTGAGACATGGCGTTAGACACTATGACCGGGTGACTCTCTTCTATCCTTACTTAGACATGTCGTTAGACACTGTGACAAGGTGACTTTCTTCTATCCTTACTGAGACATGGCGTTAGACACTATGACCGGGTGACTCTCTTCTATCCTTACTTAGACATGTCGTGAGACACTGTGACAGGGTGACTCTCTTCTATCCTTACTTAGACATGTCGTTAGACAATGTGACAAGGTGACTGTCTTCTATCCTTACTGAGACATGGCGTTAGACACTATGACCGGGTGACTCTCTTCTATCCTTACTTAGACATGTCGTGAGACACTGTGACAGGGTGACTCTCTTCTATCCTTACTGAGACATGGCGTTAGACACTGTGACAGGGTGACTCTCTTCTATCCTTACTTAAACATGGCGTTAGACACTGTGACAGGTGACTCTCTCCTATCCTTACTTAGACATGGCGTTAGACACTGTGACAGGGTGACTCTCTTCTATCCTTACTTAGACATAGCGTTAGACACTGTGACAGGGTGAATTTCTTCTATCATTACTTAGACATGGCGTTAGACACTGTGACAGGGTGACTGTCTTCTATCCTTACTTAGACATTGCGTTAGACACTGTGACAGGGTGACTCTCTTTTATCCTTACTTAGACATAGCGTTAGACACTGTGACAGGGTGACTGTCTTCTATCCTTACTTAGACATGGCGTTAGACACTGTGACGGGGTGCCTCTCTTCTATGCTTACTTAGACATGGCGTTAGACACTGTGACGGGGTGACTCTCTTCTATGCTTACTTAGACATGGCGTTAGACACTGTGACCGGTGACTCTCTTCTATCCTTACTTAGACATGTCGTGAGACACTGTGACAGGGTGACTCTCTTCTATCCTGACTTAGACATGACGTTAGACACTGTGACAGGGTGACTCTCTTTTATCCTTACTAAGACATGGCGTTAGACACTGTGACAGGGTGACTGTCTTCTATCCTTACTTAGACATGGCGTTAGACACTGTGACGGGGTGCCTCTCTTCTATGCTTACTTAGACATGGCGTTAGATACTGTGACAGGGTGACTCTCTTCTATCCTTACTTAAACATGGCGTTAGACACTGTGACAGGTGACTCTCTCCTATCCTTACTTAGACATGGCGTTAGACACTGTGACCGGTGACTCTCTTCTATCCTTACTTAGACATGGCGTTGGACACTGTGACAGGGTGACTCTCTTCTATCCTTATTTAGACATGGCGTTAGACTCTGTGACGGGGTGACTCTCTTCTATGCTTACTTAGACATGGCGTTAGATACTGTGACAGGGTGACTCTCTTCTATCCTTATTTAGACATGGCGTTAGACACTGTGACGGGGTGACTCTCTTCTATGCTTACTTAGACATGGCGTTAGACACTGTGACAGGGTGACTCTCTTCTATCCTTACTTAGACATGTCGTTAGACACTGTGACAGGGTGACTCTCTTTTATCCTTACTAAGACATGGCGTTAGACACTGTGACAGGGTGACTCTCGTCTAGCCTTACTTAGACATGTCGTTAGACACTGTGACAGCGTGACTCTCTTTTATCCTTACTTAGACATAGCGTTAGACACTGTGACAGGGTGACTGTCTTCTATCCTTACTTAGACATTGCGTTAGACACTGTGACAGGGTGACTCTCTTTTGTCCTTATTTAGACATGGCGTT